CCTCCCACCACCTTTTCCTCCTTTTTACACAGAATACTCCAGAGTCTACTACCTTGGTTGCTTCCCTACCTACCTACCTTCCTTGTCTCGTTCTCTGATAAAACGTAATTAAATCGTTGGGGAAAAAGAAATAAGGATAGAAACAGAATGTTGAATATCGTTTGTTGTGTGCACTCGCGCGGATCTCCAATGGGGACAGAGATTATATATTCTATCCCCCGCTCTCACCCCGTAGCATTTCTGGAAGCAGAAAATGGTTCAATGCGACTTCCTTCGATTCCTGTAACAGGTGCTTATCGGTGTATATACAATATTCGACATATTTGCATCGAAACAAGTGACGAAATTTTTGTAAAAAAAAAAACTCAAGCAAATGTAAAAAAAAAGAAAAAAAAAAGAGAGTATTTATTGGCAGAAAAGATCAAGTGTTATTGAATAATGGTCGTAAACACGTTTCAGATGGTCATGCACGTCGATGAAATCAACGAGCATTGGAAAATTGCATTCGTCGAAATGTTTATTCGAAATCAATGAGCATTGTGTCCGATTAACGATCGGTCCTCGATGGCTAGCGGTAATCGAGAGATCGTTTAACGGCTCGTTGCTTTTCACGGGGGCCAGTAATTTGCAAAATAATCGAAAGGATTGCTATTAAGTGGTGGGAATTTCAAACGAGTTCGAGTGTTGGCTCGAGTTTTGTGTAACGAGCTAGTTATATGTATATATCGTGATTTGTTTTGTGGGAAAGGAAGAAAAATATTATATATATATATATTGTGTGTGTGTGTGTGTGCGGACAAAATAAACAAAATGAATGGCTATTTAAATGATATGAATAATGTGCTGTTATCCGAGTAGCGATGATACGATAAAAAGGCAAGAAATAAAAAATGAATTCCGTTTCGTACTAAAAACGTCCCTCGTATTATATACTTGAAAATAAGTTCGAGCACAATGGCGTACTATTCTCCTCTACGTTCCATCCGCAAACCCGAAACTTTCCACTTTCCTTTCTTTACCCTCCGGCATAGCGAGCCCGCGCAAATTCTCTCGCAAACACGAGGACTTCTTCTTCGACGAGGGGGGTTGCTGCCCGCATTTGGTCATTTCCCAGACTTTCACGATAGAAGGAGAAGGACAAGAAGAAAATAGAAAAGAGAATGGAAAGTTATGCACGTGAAAGGATAAAATAAAAAGAATTCAGCCAGTGTTTTTCTTCTACGAATTAAAAGTCTAGGAAAAATTCTCTTGTCATTTTTAGAAGGAGATAATGAACTCCATCTGAAAAATATTAAGTTGTCCCATAAGTTCCTTTCTTTTTGGCTATCCATATACAAAAAATCCCTGTAGAAAAAGATTTTAAAAGAGGCTTTGTCAGCAACGATACGAGAGCTGCGAGACGACTGAAATCGATGCCATAAACTTACTTTACATGATTACAAACATAGCCGGCTCGAAATCATACATAGCGTGGCGCGGAAAGAACTTATGGGACAACCTAATATATGTATTGTTTACAACAAAAATACAGTTTTTCGCGTGGGTGGAAAATAATCTCTACTATTTTGTCTCCACTCTTGTTTTTCTATTTTTCCGATTAATCGGATTTACGTTCACGTTGAAACGCGTCCGCGTTAATTCCATCTTATTGTATTTACAGTTTTTGTAATCTTACACCGAGGAAGATATTTAGATGGTATAATATTTCATATATTCTATGTAGTATTCGCGTATGTATGCGTGTAATAGGAATAAGAGAACGTTTCCGTTTGAACTTCTTCGAACGATACAAGATCTGTTTAGGTATAAGAGACAAATAAACGGTTCGACGTGGCTCTTCTTTCCCCAAGGCAAGTTTAGGTCAACAAAAAGCAGATATCGAACTTTAGCCAGAAGTGTGCATTGCAGTAAGATAGAATGACAAACTAAAAAGAGGAGAAAGAAACGAAACAAGAAAGATACGAATGGTGAATGGAAAATTGATATATATAACTATTAAGTAGAAATATTTGTTAAGAAGAAAGTATCGAATAAACATAAAGTGTTGTTGATATTAATCATCGACAATATTGTTTCCATTAAATCTGTCTATTCTCGTTGATTTATCGTTCATCATCTTTTCTTCGCAAATAACTAATTTAGGAGTTATAAACTAGCTATAAAAAGAAATTCCAAGATCAAGGCTTTTTCCACATAGAAAACTATAACTGAGAAATTTCTTTACGTATAAATTGATTCATAGTATGAAACGTCTAGAGAAACTCGTGTACCATAAAGAAATACTTTTTCTTGCTTGTAGTCGAACGAAATAAGAGGAAGAAGCTCTTCGTTTATGAGAGACGAAAAAAGGCGAAGGAAGGTGAAGGAAGGCGAAGGAAGATAAAGGGAAAGGCTTGAAAGGAAAAGGCTTGAAAGGTAAAGCCTGAAACGACTGCGAGCAGCACCTTCATCGAGCTAAATAGATGCTCGAAGGCAAGATCTTGCAGACGCTCAGTGTAATACCGTTTGCTAGAATCCAGAAGAGCCGATGCGAAGGCGAAACAAGTTTGAATAGAGCCCGCATTCCGCATCGAATACCCGAGAAACTCATTAAGGGAGTTGCCATTGACTGGGGAGGGTGCCAGCTGTGCAAGTGAGCAGGACTACACCAACGTAGAATCGACAGCCAGGTACTATACTTACAATTACAGTAGATAGTATGAGTACTCAGCTGATTACGACTAACTTTATAAGATATACCTTACGACAAGTAAATAATTCAAACATACCTGACATTACCGCGCAATGATCGATTCTCTCTCTCTCTCTCTCTCTCTCTCTCTTATTTCTTTTTTATTTTCCTTCATTTCTTGAAACTACTTCTTTTTTTCCTTCATTTCTTGAAACTACTTTTTTCTTGTTTTTATATTTGACGTCATTTACTTGCATTCTTTATACATTTTTTATTTCATAATATATCAGTTAGACGCATGAGTAAGACAGTGTTCAATCTACCATAAAGGTTAACGCAAATCAGCCTGTTTGACGAGCATTCTTATATGCATTTGCATACATTATATTTCACGTTTATCTACCTAGACGTATGTTTGCAAAAATCATTATCAGTATTTCGCGATATCGTACTATTTTATTACATTGAAAGGTCAGTTTTGCTTTATTATCGTGAAACGGTTTTTTATTCGAAGATTGTTCTCTTTTCACGCTAATTTCATTTCGATCTACTAAATTATACTTGGATCGTTCGGAATAAAGTTTTCCATTATAACTGTGACAAATGTGGTATATGCGAATGCTTTTAAGTGGTATACCATTTGAAAGAGATAGAAGTTTAACAAATGTACACGTGACAAAGTGGAAACTGGGAAGACCAAGTTGATCCAAAATCTCGTCCTCTGCTCTCGGCTAGAAATTGAATGGCACTCTCGTGTTCTTGTCAACTGGGTCAGGCACACTTTGGGTTGGGCTGGCGAAAATGGGCCAAAGGCTACCTAACACCGAATCAAATATCCGTTTCCGTTTCCGTTTCTCCGTTAACCGGGAACGAGCTATAGCCTTTGGGGATGACAAGCTTACCGACTCCATCTTTCACTCTCTTTTCGATACTAATTAACTTTCTCTCCAACCGTTGTATGACCACAACTGAGATTGTTAGTTCAAAATTTCACAAGCTGACTACTCGAATTATTACTAATTAAACCTTTTTTACCCTCGAGGCCTTTTTCGTTCGACCGAACAAACAACTCCAAACGATTTTCCGCATATTTGATTAACGTTTAAATACTTTTATATATATATATTTTATTAACAAACAAAAAAAATGAATAGCTTTTCCACGCACAAAAATGTTAACCTCTTACAATAACGATAAAAAGTATCAAACGATCTTTTATTATCAATCGATTTCTCGCTATTTATAAAGATATTATCAATTAACAGTAGGCAAACAATATTATCCATATCTCTCGAGGAGATAGAAAAAAAAAAGATAAAATAAAAATACAGTTATATTGCAACACTCTCGCATCGGTTTATACGATTTATTATTATCATTAGATCATCAGGTAAATAGTAATTACTCTAATAATATCCTGTTTTCCGTTTTTATTTGTCAGTAATGTCTGCTCAGTTTACGTCTCTATCATCTTGATACGATTAGCGTCTGTCTAAGTCGTCGCGAATCAAGTATAATCGATTTCTCTGACGATAATAAATAGATAAAACGGCCTGAAGAAACAAACAAAAAAATGGGAAAATCTTTCCGATCTCTTTTATAGAAATCTGACGCGACGTTAGCGAAATCTGTCGGTTATCCATTCACCGTAAGAAAACTTATCTTTTTCAGTTCTTTCTGGAACGTTCAGATAGTCATATGTACTTACTTAGCTACGATCTAATATTATAAACTCGGATCGACAATTTTATCGATTAGATTTCTATCCCCTCGAAGATTGAGAGATCTATTACTCGTGATATCGTATCAAAGATAAACGATTGTAGATCGCATAATAATGACGTCATTATGTCTCCCAGTATTTACGGAAGCAAGAATTCAAATTAGATTTTCGTAAGATACATAACTACAAGAATATCGATGTATCATCTAGCGGTGCAACTGAAAATCAAATACAAGAAACGTGGTAAAGTGCAAATCAACGTTATCTTACCAACGTGCAATAGTTGACGTAATCAAAGAAGAGAAACTACACAACCGAAGATACCGCATTTGGTAGAAATCATATTATGTTATTACTTTGTCACGTGTATCTGATCTAATCGCGATAATTCATCAATGTGATCACGCTTTTCTTTTCACATTTAAAAGTTTAATTTTATTTTTTTTTGTATCGATACATCAATAAGTTACATAGTTAATGTGATTGATAAATTGACAATATCGAATAATTTGTAAACGTAATTCCAACCTGTTATTTTTTTTTATCTATGACCCTGAAGAAAACGATTAATAAAAAGAGAGAAAGGGAATAGAAACGATGAAGGAGGAAAGAAAAGAAAAAAAAAGAAAAAAAATAATTTATCACACAAAAATAGCATATTAAGTACTGTTAAAAACCGGTTTTTATTCGTTATCGACTTATTAAAAGTAGAGGGATTCCCTATACGTTTTCGGTATTGCTGTTGGAACGATTAAAAGCAGCTCGAGAAGCGCGAGTCCGTGCGTGCGTATCAATTGAATCGTTTGACCCGTTTTTATTGGCAAGTCGCAGACAGCGTGTGTGTCGGGTGGGCTTTAGGCTCCGGAACGGGACGGTTGCCAGTAAAGCTCACTCCTTCTTGCTATCGAGTGTTTCTCGAAGAGGTTTCTCGAAGAGGTTTCTCGAGGAGGAGTCCCGTTCTCGCTCGCTCGCGAATCTTACAAAAATGTGCGTCCCACGTAAATACATATTTTAATAATTCGAAATTTTAGATCTCAATACGCGAGAAGAGAATTCGTACCGTGCTCTTCCAATAAAATCTCATTTGTCAAGTCACATGCGAGAAAAAAGGGGGTGACCGGGACTCTTTCATCATCACGGATACCTTCTTCTACTTCTACTTCTACTTCTACTTCAACGACATCCATCCATCTACAATTAATATATTTCGATTTATAATTCGATTATAACGCGTGGAAGTGTTCGACTCGAGCGAACGGATCTTCTTCTTCTTCTTCTTCTTCTTCTTCATCGTGTCAATCATTTTTCCGTCCAACTCATTGTCTCCTTGATCTTTGGATATGGTCAGAAAAACATCAGAGGAGAATAAGGTCTCTACTATAACTGGTAAGAATCAATTTCTCAATTGTTCCATACATTTGCATAATTGTTAATGTCATATGATATGTTTCTTTTTCTTTCTTTCTACTTTTTTAACCGATCCTCCCCAACAATATTTCATGTTCTACGCATTATTTTAGGTAACGTCATCGTCGATGAACCCGCCAATTATGAAAGAGCCATTTCGGTTACCGGTACGTTTTCTCGTCAACAATTATTAATGATAAATATGAAATTATTTATGTGTGTAGTAACACGTATGTAAATAATTATTAAAAAGTAATGAAACATGTTAAGTGTTATCCATATAGATAGATTACCTGTTTGTCAAATTATTAAGGAGTCACATTCTCATATTTCACTAACTAATGTCGTTAATTAAAAATGATTTATCTAATTTCGTCAAACGATGAATTGACGAAATATGTGTTTGAACAACAGTTTTTAATTGCAAACTAAAAACTTATTCTTAGGTTTCGGATTGTTCAACGTTTTACTCTTCGTGGCAACAGTGCCAATCGCGTGGACAGTTCTCTTCGACACAACATCACCGGCATTTATTTTAGCGTCAGCAGAATGCGACTTGCAACTTACATTTTTTCGAAAAGGCGTCCTCATAGCATTCCCCTTCATAGGTAAAAGCAATTTATATTTATTCTTCATAAATCCACAAATTTTTCCAACCGCACTATCTTTCGTTATCGCTTATCCTTCCAAGAATGCACATATTATATATAAGCTAAATTGTGCATTATCGTAGCATCGTTCAAATGAACGTTTCGTTAAATAGAACAAAATTATACTTCGAGTTATAGTCGACGAAGATAAAAATATGAAAAATATTTCATGCATCGAAAAGTCGAATGATCTTTTTAAAAATGAATACTGCTAAAAAGCTTATCTATTTTTTTTGTATATCTCTCAACAGCAATGTTGGCCACTGCTTCATTGTGGGATTACGTGACGATCTACGTAGGTAGAAGGACCTTGTTCGTTCTTGGCTTACTAGCAAATTCTATCCTAAATATACTGAGCACTGCTGTAGATTCGTACCACGTGTTTTTGCTCATCAAATTTATCAGCGGCATTATGTGAGTAAAGAAAGAATAAAAATAATATAAAAGGAGAGGGAAAGATAGAAACACTTAACATGCAACAAATGACACTCCCCCACAAACACACACACACACGTAGATAGAATTTTTCTTCGTGTTTCGCTAGCTTAGTCATTTTCTTATCTTGCCTGAGGTTATAATATCACTAATTCGTACTCGATGTAGCTCTATTTTTACTGTTTGCGTATGCACGTGTACACGTTGTGTTACGTATATGGAAAATTTCAGAATCGGTGGTCCACCCTCGATGGTGATGGGATACTTAACAGAATTTCACTCTGCAACATACAAAGCACGTTTTGCCGCTTGGTCTGGTTTTGTGTTTTCAATGGGAACTATTGTACCGGCAGGTAAGAAACTACCATTTATTTCTACGTATCGTAGCGAGATGAAATTTCATTCGATAAATATATATTCTCATAATTAATATATTTAATCGTTATTATTAATTATTTATGGTTTCGATATAGCTTTGGGTTTTACTATCCTGCCCCTAGAATGGGACGTCGATGTATTCGGTAAAACTTACAACAGCTGGCGAATTTACTTGCTGATTTGTTCGATACCACCTGTTCTCGGATTTGTGACAGCAAGCATGTTACCTGAAAGTCCGAAACACCTGATGGAAATGGGAAGACAGGATGTCGCTTTGAAACTATTTCGTAGGATGTACTGCATGAACACGCGAAAGCCGGCCGATACGTTCCCGGTAAGGTTCGTAATTAATCGATGTGTAGTAGTCGTTATACAGCCTGGGTCAATAACAATTCATTTCATTACATTTATACATTGGCAATAAGAAAAGAAAATAATATTTAATATCGATCATTTCTTCTTATCTGCAAAATCAAACACGAAGTATATTTTCTTTGCTTGTTGCTTTTAAAACAATTGTTATCGACTCACCCGGTATATCTTTCTCCTATCATGTCGATCGGTTAATTAAAGACGAGTTTTAACGCAAAAGTTTCACCCAACACACGTAACTTTAGCGAACCTTCGCGAAATCGAATTTACGCAAACTGTTAACGTGGAACATAGCAAAAAGATAGGAAGAAAAGTTTTCCTAGCTTGAGGATCGTAAAAGTAATTATAACGGTAGCACGCGATAGTAAGGAAATAACTTTCTTTTCGAGCTTCTTCACAATCTTTCTTCCTTTTTCTTTATCTCCCCTTTCTCTCGATTCTTATTCGAACCAATCAACGAATTTAATCATTTTCTCTTTCTCGATTTACCCTATAAATCGTTCGGAAAATTGTTCGGAAAATTGTTCGGAAAATTGTTCGAAAAATTGTTCTGAAAATCATGCGATAACTTTAACGTTAACTCGTCATTCAACGTACGTCATAATGAAGAAGCATGGTAATAGAGACTATTTTAACGACGTGGTTTAATCAATGCACGTAAATTGCTGAATATTACGCTCCCGTATCTCGTGGGACTCGTTTACGGACGAACGATCGCGTTAATAATCAAAATTTCTGACATTCCTACCGACGAAGCTACGAATATTTAGCCATCGTCTGAATTTTCACATTCTTCTATCTCTATCTCTCTCTTTTTCACGCATTTTCTACAGAATCTCTCTCCGTATAAGACTAGACATCAAATAAGAATACCTCCTCTCTTGTGCATAATGTGTTTAATATCCAATAATTAATATTGCAAATTGATTGATAATTATTTAATTAATAAATATATAGGCAATACGTGTGTTATTGAAAATTAAAGCTTTGTGGAGTGCTACCATATTGTACAAATATTAAAATATTATATATCAATATGCATAATTAAACTATTTACGAATGAAAACGATAAATCATTCGTCGAGCGAACGAAAGTCGATATAATTTACGAAGCATATAATATTTTCCAACTGAATTTATAATGACATATCAAGATTAATGATGTGACAATGTCTTATCGGTCGTTAAGTTGTCTGCGAGTTCTCCGCTATGATAGGACGAAAATACGCGTGACCTTTTTTTATTTTATTTTTTTTTCCTGCTACCTTTCCCTGATACTTTTAACAAACGGCCATGAGAGAGAGAGATATCCCTCCCTCCCCCACCGGGCCCCTCGTACGTGGAAAACAAACGACATTTTTTATTTACCGTGCCGTCCAGCGAGAAAGCACGTGGCGAGAAAGGGAGAAAGGGAGGAAGGGAGGAAATCGCCGTCTGACTGGAGAAAACAGAGAAACCGGCAAAATCGGATTTTCCGAGCGAATAGAACATTTAGATACCGGTACGGCGTGCTGGGAACGTCGGATGTATAATTCACCGACGGTATTCTAGACGGCCTCGCATTGTTCTCTCCTCTCGACGTTCGTTTTGCAGATAAAAGCGTTGCTCGTCCAAAAGACGCAATTACCACGGCCGACGTTAAAGGCGAGTCTCGAAAAAATTCGGATCGACCTTTACAACACGAAACTCTTGTTCTCGGCACCTTATCTGTCAGCGTTCTCCGTTCTAACTTTCCTACAATTTGGAAGTATGCTAGGGTAAGTATTACAATACTTATAAAGATTATTAATAAAGATACCAAACGATATGTATATTCTTGCAGTTTTAATACTATGAGATTATGGGTCCCGCATATGTTCATCATTTTAAACAACTATGATTACGAGCATTGGAAACCTGTCGGAAGAGCTCCAACGATATGTGAAATGTTGGATAGGCATGCTGCTAAACCCGGCAGACCATATTTAAACTGTACAAACTTTGACGATGCATGCTTCGAGGTAAGGCCAAACACCTGATACAAACGAGAAAACAAATTCTTTACTCGAAAGACACGATAATCGCTAAGAGATACACTTTCAGTTTGCACAACGATATCACCGATGATAATTAACTTGCTTTTCTTATTGTTAGTTAAACGATTCATATATATGATTTTGTTCGTTTTTTCTAGTGGAAAATTAATCCTTCCGTTTATCAAAATTCAACGATTATAGCATCCTCCGCTGTGCTATTTGGTTTTCTAGTTGGATTTATAATGACCAACAGATTACGAAAAAGAATAATTTTATGTAAGTTACTTGAAATATTTATTTTCATTAAAGACTCTTTTGTATGTTGGAACAGTCATCTTTTGTATTTTGATAAATAAGATCAATAAAAAATCTTGCAATTAATTTTCAAAAATCTATTGTAATCTTATCTAATTAACGTAGATATACGTCTCTAAATTCAATTGTGATACCGAGGCAGTTAATAATTTATATTCATTAGAATATCTATTCTTGGAGGAAATATTAAACTAACAGTTTGACTGTAAAAGATAAGGGACGATTCGAATAATGTCTTGGTTTAATCCGTGGATTAACAGATGCTACTGTTGCAGTTGTGGCCTTCCTGATATCACTGGCAAGCAGTTTTGGAATAAATTGGGCACAGGCACCTCCCTATATGCTGACGCTAGCAGCCGCCGTTATCGTGACATCAAGAATAGCGAGTAATATCGTTACCGCGGTGAATGCCGACGTTATTCCTATCCCATTAAGGTAATACCTCGCAAATAAAAAGAGATACACTCATCTTTTAAACTTTATCTATCTCGTAAGCGGTTCAATCCAGATCGCATATAATCTTCTTCTTCTTCTTCTTCTTCGTCTACTTCTACCAACATTCCTCTCTTTTTCTTTTTTTTTAAATCTTTCATAACACCCTTTTGATTGAAAAGTTTCAACGAGATAAAAAAAATAATAACGACGATATCCTCGGAGTAAAATAAGTCTAATCGTTTTTATTCTACTTCCTCGTTCTTAAATAGAAGAATCTCTCGTGAGAAAACGAGAAAAATTTTTCTTTTTCTCTTTCTCTCTCTCTCTCTATCAGGCTACATTTCACTGAAATAAGGATAGATAAAAAGCCATTATAAATACAAGAGGTTCGCGACGTGCTCCGTTAACCGAATCGTTGCATTAATTTAAGGGCCACCAGCGTGAGTATCATCACGTCCTCCGGAAACTTAGGAGTCATATTGGGGAATGTCATTTTCTCTGCACTTCTTGACTTCCAGTGTCTCGCAGCTTTTCTCGGTATGGCCTGCTTTTCCATAGGTAAGTATTCATATTTCATTTTACATTTATATATTTAATCGATACTTACTTTATCTCGTTAATACTCGCGCGTATTATTATTATTATTATTATTTTATTTTCTATTAATATGATATACAAAAAATATACATAATTAAGAGAAGAACATGCTTGAAATATCTTTAATATAATTTTCGGCACAAAATATACTTATTTTAGATAAAATAAGTATCGTAAAATATTTTCACAAAGATGTATATCTCAATGAATAATAAAGTCTAACAGATATTTATTTTTATGGCTAATCATTTTTTAGTCTGCATCCTGGTAACGTTTCTTCTTCCAAAACCGATAAAGACATCGCCAGAGAGTTTCGCATAGCACAAGATCGTTAGAATGATTAGACAGAAAAGATTTATATCTACAAAGTGCATATATATATATATATATAAAAATATATTTTTTTATCGTGTTTTGATACAGACCTGAATGGAAGAAAAAGAATGAATAGCGTGTATTCGGCTGTGAAACATGTTTCGTAGGATGTACCTGACAAACGTACGCTTTTGTCGATTTCATAATAAAAATGTGACCAAAGAATTACACTTTTATCCCATGTGTCATATAAAACACTTCGATAACTTTATTACGACAGTGTAACAACCAAATATGAAAATAACCGAAAAATGGAAAGAGAGATATGGAAAATAAATATAAATATAAATATATATATATTATATAAAAAGAAAAATATGAAAGAGGGAAGAAAGATTGTGGGATATCGATCGAATTGTGTGGAACGATTTAGCATTGCGTCGATTCTCTCTAGTCCATGATAATTGCATTTCGTTCGCAAACGCAACTCTCGAAAGGCAAGCGAAGCGACAACAATTACAAGAATGACCCACTTGGCAAAGTTCCACCAAGCAAATCATTATACCGGATAACAACGATGGTCCCTCCTCGTTGTTGTCGGATGTTATCTCCACGGAATGCAGTTTCTCCATTGCAATTCTTCCCCCCCCCTTCGGCCCTTCGTTTACAAACGATGCACTCGCGTGCGGTTCATTCGACTCGAATTCTCCAATTGCGCGAACTGAACCTACGATATTTTCTACCTAGTTTAGATTATTACTATAGAATAATAAGCCCCAATGTATTACCTACTTATATTATATAACTCATTTTTGCATATTTAAGGTTTATATGTATTCATAAATACTTATGTATAATATGTTCCAACGTCTCGTCAAAAGTCTATCATAAATTTCATTTTATTTTATTTTCAATCAAAATATCTTTGTATAATATTAAAATCTCTCTCGTGGAAAATCATTAAAAAGAAAAAACAAAAAAAAAATAGAAAAAACGGCATTTGTTATATTTTTAATTAGCGTAATATTAATTTACATTCCTAGTTTAGAATTAATCATATTTTTACGTTAGATTGTAACATTCCATAATTTTTGTAAAACGACGTTAGAAAAATTCGATACAGGTATGGACGATTGAATGTATATCATACTGTAACTTTTTTTTATTAAGTAGATAAATATTCTTGTACATAAGAAAAACAAAAAAAAACACTCTGACATTTCGTATCTTTTTTTTCTTTTTTGTACTTGTTACATATATTTGATATATAAATGTTATTTTCCTTACTAAGAATATTGTTTAATCTTTCGTAAGAAACGATTCTTGGGTTATTTCCTTCTAACGAGAAAGTATAGCAAAATAGCAAGGCTGGCTTTCGTTAATGGGATTTCATGGGAAATTAAGCGATAACAGCTTAATGTTGTGGCAATACTTATCCCGCTGCATGATCTAATGCAAGCTCGTGTACGTTGAGATAAGGGAGTTATTACAGGTTGTCTACAGTGCTGGTTAATTAGTACGATCGCTATCTTTCTTTTCATCGGACACGAAATATATATATATGTGTCATCCTAATTAATAATACAAATTTAGAAAGGAAAGTCTCTACGATCATTGTACTTATTCGTCAATGTTCTCTTTACTATCCTACCTATATTCCTTTCGAAACTCATCTTACCGAAATACACCTATAAATATATACGCGTATACGTGTATGCACATGAAATGCATCCAAAGTGCGGAAGAGCTAACTTTCGATATTGCCAGAAAGATAAACATCCAAACTTACACGATGTTTAGGTATTAGATTAGCTTCCTACGTGAACTTAGAAGGTAACTTCCTTCCTTTCGAGATTACAGGGCCATCCGTTGCAACGATAATTCGTGTAACCTTAAGTAAATTAGTAGAATATTCAATTAAACCAATTTCTTAATACTTCATCAACACACACACGACAAGAAATATATTTTAATAATCATTGTATTCTTTTTTATTCATTCACAAAAAAAAAAAGAAGTAACAAAAATGTCGATCTAAATAGGACACTGTACATTTGTTAATAAACCGACCATACAATCTTTCACATTAATCGATATTTTAGTTATATATCTATACCTATGCATGCATATCTTTTTCTTTGGCTCTATTTCCTACGGTTTAATCTCTCGTCCGTGTTATAAAGTCCGGATCGCGGCAAATAGAGCGCAAGTTCCACAGCTCGATTGCTATGCAAAGTTATGCGACCGAGCAACAAGGACTTGTACCACGGAATACGTTTTCGAAGTACGTGTGTTCGCTAGCGTGTAAGCGTTAAGAGTATGCGCGTGAAAATTAATAAGCACCATGTAGTGAATTTTTTTATGCAAAGGTCAACGTTCTGGGAAAAAAATTCTAAGAACGTAAAAGTATTTAAAAAAACATACAAGGACCGAGGGGCGATAAAAGTTACAATCAAAAAATTCTTAATATTCATATGTATTACTATTACATTTTTTTTTCTCCAATGAATAAAAACATTATTTCTTACAAAATAAGTGTATTTATCTATTATTTATTTTTTCATTTATTATAAAATAAAAAAACTGTAAGGAAAGAAAAGAACGAGTATGATTAAAAAGGTTGTAAGAAGATAATACATATTATGCACCGCAGAAAAATTGGCATAGAACCTCAACAGCAAAAAAAATCAATTGCTGACTTTTTGTTTGTCTGTTTTTCTCCGGTCATTCTAGCTTCAATATGATATGGGTTTCTTTTTTTAATCTAGTAAGTCTTTTTCCTGTACCTATTCTAAGACAATCGTTCTTTACGAGTAAATTCCTTTAATTAATAATTAAAACAAAATACCTACATTAGATTTTTAATTGTTGTTTGTTTTTAATTGTATATAGAATTTAATAACACATTCACTTTGTGTAAACTACTTGTTATTAAAAGTTACCTGAAAATAAGAAAGTTTAAAATATATTGAAATTCTAGTAACATGGCTAAGCCGATATCAGTAATAGTAGTGCATTACCTTTATCTTACGAGCCGAAGAAAAAAACGCAAAAATAAAGCGAGCAATTATGGGTTTTAAATGAGCAATTAGTTAGCAATTAACTGCAATTATTCTTTTCTTTCTGCGGTGAAAATTTTGTACTGTAGATAAACCGATTTTCCGACCGAAATCTGATGGTAACTTACCTTACCTGGTGGTAACTAACTTACTTATTCTTTTCTTTCCGCGGTGAAAATTTTTTACTGTAGGTAAAACGATTTACCGACTAAGATCTGATGGATGGTGATGGTTCTGAGGTAACTTACCATCAAAATTACCGACAGTAAAAAAACGCGAAAATAAATCAAGCAATTATGGGTTTTAAATGAGTAATCAGTGAGCAATTACCTACAATTATTCTTTTCTTTCTGCGATGAAAATTTTTTACAATTTTTGTGATTGTAAAAAAAGACTATACTATATTATTGCATACAGAAAATAAATTATTTATTGTTTTTCAATTCGTGTCTCAACAACCAAAAGAATATTGAATTCTTTGAATGAATTACATTCATTTGTTCCTCTGTTTTTTCTACGAAAACGAAATGTAAAATCAATGCTTACGAGGAAATCAACGAGACTCTGATACGATCACGTACGAGCTCAACATTTATATTCGAATCACTAAAATCTTTACCTTCCTCGAAAATGTTTTTTAGAATCTCGATCAATAACTTGTCGTTTTAAGTAAGCAAAGATAATAAAAAAAGAAAAAAAAAACAAGGAAAAAGACGTTATCGTATGATAAACACATATGCAGCTATAATATACATCAGGCATACAATTTTTGGATAGGTCTTGACACCTACTCTGACGTTTAACGTCAGTTATCGCTTAATCAATTGTATACGCACGGGCTCGTCTACGAACAAGATACGATAGTGTTACACACGCCTGAATTACGTCCAATCCCATCTACGATAATAACTGCTGGCTTGTAATAACGCAAACTATATTATCATCAAAAGAGACATATCGAAAAGGAAAGTAATAAACTGCGAAACGTCGTTTTACCTTGACCCTGCAATTTACCAATTTTCCGATCGAACGTCTTTAAATTATGAGATCAAAATTAAACTAAACTCAATATAACGAACACGCGACTCTTTGATTTTTTATTCGAAATACTATCTTAACATTTTTTTCAATATCGATAAATGATTCTTTTCTACGTCAATGTAATTTAATTAAAAAAGAAAAAAAGGAAACCGAACGAATAATAATTCGATAAACAAGGAAACGTCTATCATATCAATGAAATTATTTAGCAGATTCGCATGACGTTAGAAACTTGATCATACACCTGACGTAATCCTGACGCAAACTCGGATAGTTTGATAATTAATGATATTGCCTGAAATGAACGACAATTCGAACACTATTGGTTAAGCAAGTAGCATATCGCGCTTTAAGCGAGTTCATTAGCGTTTATTAGGCAATTTTCGAGGTCGTTTCTTTGGTAATTAATTATATCAGATGAAATATGTTTGACTTTTCTAAATTATTTTCAATAAACATACCTAATATTACGTGTTCGATTTCATTTATGGCAATTACCTGTGTGTGTGTGTGATTATACGAATCAAGGAATGAATGAAGATTTGATGATAGATCACTTTTATAATCACCGACTATACGTGCACGGATATTTGATGTTAATGCGAAACGTGGCATCTTGATTGTGCATGAATGCACATATATGTATTACAACACATAGCCATAACATCTCAGGGGATGATTCTACGTCTATGACTCATCGATATTTCCCCAAAATAACGTTCCTTAAATACGCAACATTTCGTTCAACTAATATACTAGAAGAAAAAATATAAGATTCAATTGAAATCTTATGAACAATTTGAATTGAAGACAAATACAGAAGATTTCTTTGAAATTTCTGTGAAAGTTTTTACTATGAAAAATCGTTTCGCACGCGTTTTTACAAAAGTATTGGTCTTTTGAAATAAAATTAGAGAAATAGATTATTCCCAGGACCGAAAACTATGTAGCAACACCCACGTTTTCTCATTTATCGTGTTCAAAGAATCGTGAAATCAAACGCGAAAACGGAGAATTTTCCCTTAAATTCTCCGAAAACAAAAAGGGAAACGTGACTGCGATAGTATAGAAAGAGACAATAGACAAATGGCAGTGATGATCTTAATGGACGAATGATTACTCTCGAAAGACATTCC